TTCGTCTCAACTAACTGAGAGTTCTTGGTAACTTTGTAAAATTCGTAAATTTCATAAAATAATTTTACAAACTTTTTCAAAATTAAGATCTACCCTCGATCTGAGCAAATTTACAAAAATTGCGAGCTAATTTTCCTTCGAAATATGTGTAAAATTTTTAAAAAGTTTGTAAGCTTATAGAATTTATGGGTTTTACAAAGTTACCAAGGCCTGCGTGAATTTCATTTTGCTTTAAGCTATGTAAATTATTAAAATAAACCCCATTTTTTCATGATTTTGTAAAATCAAAGCAAATTACGACATTCTCCAACTACATAATTGAACTAGACTGGCTTTCGTCCTTTTCGTCCGACGTACTAAAACAGACTGGAAATTGTCTCAATTTGAATTAATTACAGGGATGAAATTAGGACGAGTTAAGACTGAAGAAAAGGAAGTTGAATCACACACGTTAATTGCAAAGAACAAAAAACAGAACAGAGAATTGTGTATTATCGTCATGCCCTCATAAATTCGCACACACGTTAATTTGCGCATTATTATGCTCGCAGAAAAAAACACAGTCAGACAAAAGATTACGATAATAATAATAATTACAGAGATGTGATGTGTGTGTGTGCGGTTGGTTTAATAAATTTATTCACTTACTAAATGAAACAGCATTTAAGAGGTAAATTAAATGCACTTTAAGTGAGATTTGTGCAGCTAGAGATTAAATCATTTCTTATTATTTTTGTGAGGTTATTACATAAATGCACAGGCGGAATGTGAATTATCGTGATTATATGGATGTATGTATAGCATTGTTATTTAAGGGGGGGATTGCGTTAAAGATGGGATAGATTTTTGGGAGAATTTGCGTAAAAGATGTGGTCAATTTTAGGAGAATTTGCGTAGAAGATGTGGTCAATTTTTGAAGAATTTGCGAAGATGTGGTCAATTTTTGGAAAATTTGCGTAAAAGATGCAACCGATTTTTGAAGAATTTGCGTAGAAAATGTGGTCAATTTTTGGAGAATTTGCGTAAAAGATGTAACCGATTTCAGAAAAATTTTCGTAAAGGATGGGACTGGGGAATTGCTCGAACTCGGAGATTATGGTTTCAAATTATACAATGGGTTTCATTAGATTACATCACGTTTTAGAATTTGTTACATTTCGACGTCGTTAAAATGGAAAGTATTTAGATGAGAATGTATTTTCGGACTAGATACAGTTTGGGCAGTTTTTTGTTTTTATTTCAGTTGTTAGCAAATTGCAACTGAATTTTAAGTTAATTACGACACAATTTATCATCAATTAGGCAAAGGTAACACCGTAACCTTAGATACGTTTCAATAACCGTGTGAAAATTATGTGGAAAAATTTAGTTCCAAATTCAAAAATGCTTGTCGTTTTGCCCTATTTAGAATTGTGCTTGAAAATATTTGTTACAGTTTGACGTCGGTACTAGCAAAATATAATGAATTTATTTCATAAATTTATAAAATTTAGGTACAATGTGGGGAAAGTCTAATCTCAATATTGTGGATAATAATGTCCATAAATTTGAAAACATTTCGCAAAAATAATTTTCATAAAAATCTGCTTTTAAATAATCAGCCAATTCATACAGTTTTTGGTAAGTTTATAAAACCCGTAAATTTGTGCCGTAATTTTACAAACTTTTACAAAATAAAGAGACGCCCCTGATTTGATCTAAGCAAGTTTACAAAAATTTTGGAGTTAATTTTTTTTCGAAATATTTATGAAATTTTGTAAAAGTTTATATAATTTACGCATTTTGCAAAGTTATAAAGAACTGCATGAATTTCCTCAAATAATTATTGTGCGATGTTTTAATAGGTGTTATATACCCCATACAACATGAAGCACATGCTTTATGTAGGGCCCCCCATTAGTGAATAAAGCTGTTGGCTTGATAACATGGTAAAATCTGTGTGTGTGTGCAAATGATAAGGTGAGCAAATTAATTAAATATGTGAGAGTGAGTCGTATTTATAAAGGAAGGAAGTGAGGAATGAATGAATGTGCAAGGATGAAAATAAAGTGGTATTTATTTACCTACGTGGAAAGATGATAAGTAAAATATTTGGTTATATTTGTAAACTTCCCATCTCCGGAGGAGGAAGGAAATGAAAGTCTGGTTTACTTTTTTGAAGTAGAGGTAGATGCAAATTTGACGGATTTTATAGAATTTGGGAGTTTTTTTAACCAAATGAATTATGTGTAGGTGGCAAATTTTTGAAAAATATCGAGGCGATTTTTCCAAAATTTGTTACAATTTTCTAAAAATTTGAACATTATTCTAATATTTGTTACCGTTTTTAAATTTGTTAGATTTTAACGGCAATAAATGCAAAAAAAATTATAAATTTATACGCGTAATAATTTGAGATTTGAGCCCCGGATGCTGGCTGTCGCATAGTCAAACTATTAAAAACAACAAACTTATAAAGAAATTTGGAAAACTACGTACAAAAATGTAACCATTTACGCGATAGTTTCACAAACAGGCGATTCACGCCTTCATAACTTGTAATTCTGTAAGTTTCGTAAAATAATTTTGCAAATTTTTACGAAATGAAAAAACGCCTTTGGTCTGAGAAAGTTTACAAAAATTTGGTAGCTAAAAATTTGGTAGCTAAAAATTTGGTAGCTAAAAATTTGGTAGCTAAAAATTTGGTAGCTAAAAATTTGGTAGCTAAAAATTTGGTAGCTAAAAATTTGGTAGCTAAAAATTTGGTAGCTAAAAATTTGGTAGCTAAAAATTTGGTAGCTAAAAATTTGGTAGCTAAAATTTGGTAGCTAAAAATTTGGTAGCTAAAAATTTGGTAGCTAAAAATTTGGTAGCTAAAAATTTGGTAGCTAAAAATTTGGTACTTTCGAAATATTTGTAAACGTTTACGAATTTTACAACGTCACCAAGGCCTGCGTGAATTGTTTTAATGATCTGGTTCGTTTGGGAAACAAGTCGGTTTTATTTCTGGCTTACGTAAGACATTGATATCGTACCGAGAAAATTCTTGAAAAATCACACCACAACTAGAATGGACAAAATCTGCAATAGATTGATCACTAAAATTTTTAGAAATTCAGAAATATATTACTTTTTGAAATCCATAATATGTATATATATCAGAAAGTTAAAAAACGTTCATAAATCCAAATTTGTTAAAACCTGTGTAATTTAGTTAGAACTATCTTGGATTTTCACCTGGAATTCGTTCAACTAATTAATTTTTTTAAATTCGCAATTGGCATTAGCTCATAACATAAATACTGTCTTGTCGCTAAAATTCAGACGCATTTTCAGAAAATCAGAAATTACACTTTTCTAAATTCAAAACACATCAGAACTTAAAAAAAGCTCAGAAATCCAAATGTTTTTAGAATCTCTACAAGTTAATTAGAAATGGCCGTGGTTTTCACCTGGAATTCGTTTTTTATTTGAGTAATATTCAAAAATTCGCAAATGGCAGTAACTTATAACATTTTTTAAGCATGATTATTTTTGGTCGCTAAAATTCAGACGCATTTTCAAAAATTCAGAAATATTGCGCTCCATCAAATCCAATTTTATATTATTTAGAAAGCTAATTCGACTTATCTAAAATGTCTATCTACAATTTTTAGAAATTAATTCAAAATTTTGCAAAAATTTTGCATTTGGCAGTATATCTATCATAACATTTATTAAGTAGGTATGTTTCTGATAATTAAAATTCGGACGCATTTTCAAAAAATAGGAAAAAAATAGGAAATATTATATTTCTTTTCTTTAAACCCTTAATATATCATAAATTAAAATTTAAACGATCAGAAATCGAAATTCATTAAGCTCTCGGTAAGTTAATTAATCCAAGATTTTCATCTGCAACTCGTTTTATTGTTTCGAATTTCTAAGGAAACTACTCAGAATTTCTAATTTTTAGATTTTCAGCAAATGAATTACTGTTACTCAGGATTTTAACCTGTAATTCGTTTTAGTTTTTCGAACTTAAAAAAAATCACAATTGGCAGTAACTCATAGGCTATGAGTCATAGCATTAATAAAGTAAGATTTTTCATAGTTGCTCAAATTAGGGTAGTATATTTTTACAATGGGAAAAGTAAATGCTTAAATATAACGAAAACTTTTACTAACATTCAGAACCTGACACAATCAAGTCAGGAGTTGTCGGCATGATTTTTTTTTACTTTTTACATATTATCAATGGTGACGTTATAATTGCTACATGTCCAACTTGATGACGGCATAAAGATCAAGTGGTTTTTTAATTGGTGCCATCATGAATTATTATTTTTCTTCAATTTGAGTCGGTACTTATGATGTGAACGTCACCGAATCCATACAAAATTATTGACTGGAACATGATAAATTAATGACATCACACAAATATTACATGAGCGCATCATGAATTAATTGGTGCCATCATGAATTATTATTAAGGGCTGAGCACCCCTTTATGGAAATGTCTTGTCTGTCCGTCCGTCCGTCTGTGTCCACGATAACTTTAGAACAGATTTGAATTTCAACATGCGGTTTTCGCCAACGAGTTTCTAATTTTTGAAGTACGGATGAATTTGAAGATGGACGTTGTAGGACATACGGTCACGGCGCCACGGTGATGACGCCAACGGTCAAAGGTGTAAAATTTTTCGTTTCCACCGTTTTAGACGTTGTTTTGGACGGGATTTCAAATAGACATAGTTTTTACGTGACATGACCGTGTAACTCTGTCGCTTCACCCCTTTGCTATATTTGTATTTCGTTTGCAACGGTTTATTTTTCTTCAATTTGAGTCGGTACTTATGATGTGAACGTGAACGTCACTGAATCCATAACAAATTAATATCGACTGATGCGATGCTAGAACATGATAAATTAATGGCATCACACAAACAAATATTACATGAGCGCATCGTGTTATTTTGATTAAAACCTGATAACAATTAAATTAGAACATGTTTACTTATGATACAAACCCTTGAACACGCGTATAAAAAGCCATGCTTTCGTTTTAAACTGTATAATGTTTTTCTGAATTCGTTACAACCTTTTCCCCACAAATAAAAGAAAGAAAAGTAATATATATTAAATATTCAACACAAAGTAGAAGCCTGGAATTTAAAATATTTAGTGGCAAGATGAAATTATTATCCTTTCTACCCAAACTTTATTTCATCCTATTTACTCTTCTTATTGGAATTGTAGTAGGAATAATGGCAGGAAATATTCCAAATTTGCGTCAAGAAGAGGATGAATTTCTGTATGACGTTTTTCCCGAAGATTTTCAATGGGGCCTGGCCGTTTCAGCTTATCAGACAGAAGGAGCTTTCGATGTTGATGGTAACACTTAATTGTTCTTAATTGTCGAGTATTACGCAATGTTAAAAATTATTTAAAAAAATATTAGGTAAAGGTCCCTCCGCATGGGATGCATGGACCCATGAAAACAATGGATCTAACATTGTTGACGGACAGAATGGGGATGTCGCTTGCGATTCGTATAATAAATTTGAAAACGACACTCAACTTTTAGCTGACATGGGAGTGAGTGTTCAAATCAAAATGTTACAAAATATTTATGATAGTTACGTAAATAATTGTTCCTCTCCTTAAATGGGATAGGCCAACTTTTACAAAATATCGTTATCCTGGCCAAGAATTGTTCCCACGGGGAGAACCTCTGACGGAATCAACCTGGCAGGGATTGCTCATTACAACAAAGTTATTGATAGCTTACTCGCAAAAAATATTACACCCTTCGTCACCCTCCACCAGTGGGACCTTCCTCTCCCTTTGGTACAACAAATTTTTTTAATTATGCACATATTTATATAATTATTATGCATAGTGTTGCCGCTGAGTTTAGTTGAAGATGAGTTGGCCTTCAATTCGCTATAACTAGTCACCAACTTTTGTAAAATTGAATTTCTAAGCATTTTTTTGGACTCCCAGATAAATTTTGGATGAAATAGTGCAAATTTCAAATACATACAAAATTTTAAACTTTTTTAATTTGAGACCAAAGTGTAAATTTCGAAAAGTACGAAATTTTTTTATTTCATTGGAATTTATATGATTCCATCCAGAATTTATTTGGGAGTCGAAAAATGAGTATCAATTTTGCACGACTAATTATAGTGAATTTAAGGCCAAATAATTGAAAACTCATCGGCAACACTACTGTTCAGCCGATATTAATAGTCTGAAAAAAATCTGAAAGGTTTCCTGGCAGATAACTTACATTATTTTCCAAAAACCAAATAACCTCACAGAAAAATTTCCAATGAATTGAGAATATTAATACTGGTTGAACAGTAATTATGCATATATTCAGCAACTAAATGACATCTATATCCTCCTAAAGGTTACCAGTGGATCTTGGAATAATGAAGAAATCGTCAAAAACTTTGGAGACTTTGCTCGCATCGCTTTCCAATTTTATGGAAACCGGGTCGACCTCTGGGCCACCCTGCACGAGCCGTTAATTTCATGTCAGGCAGACGCCACGTTTGGAGTTCATGATTATTTCGACGAACCCCCCACCAAACAGTACACCTGTGTCCATAATGTTCTTAAAGCGCATGCCACCGCCTACAAAATTTTTAAGGACGAACTCGGCCTTTCTGGTCAAGTCGGTTTGACTCTGAATAGCGAATGGGCTCAGCCAAAAAATGCCAGCGATCCGTTTCATGTTGACGCAGCAGAGCGTTTACTCGCATTTCGACTTGGGTGGTTCCTTCACCCCATTTACACTGGAGATTATCACCCCATCATGAGAAGCATTATTGACCAGAAGAGTGAGGCTGAGGGGAGAAATTCTTCCCGATTGCCAAGCTTCGATGATGCATGGAAGCAGAAACTGATTGGTAATTGTAAATTAGAAATTGCATTTTGATGATTTAAAAAATGGTACTAATTAGGGCGTCCAAAGTCGGAAAATTTTGATAAATCGGTTTTTTGATTAATTGGATTGGGAAAATTTTACGAAATCGGTTTTTCTGTTAATCGTATTTTGGAATATCTTAGGAACCCGGTTTTGTGCAAAACCGGTTTTTTAAATCAAAGCGTTTTAAAGCAAACTTTAAAAAGTTTGCACATAAAATAACCAAATAATTCAAGACAAAATTAAAATTAAATGTAAACTTCGGAATAAGAAGAAGAAGGGATTACAGAACAATTAATTTTTATCTCAACAATAAGAAGCGTTAAATATTAGCTTCAAAAAAATATGTTTTATTAAAAACCGAGAACCGTTTTTTTGCAAACCGTTTTTTGGAAAATCGTAAAACCGATTTTGCATGCCCTAGTACTAATTAACACTACAATGTATTTATTTTACTTTAAGGTTCCCTCGACTTTATCGGGCTCAACTACTTTTTTACCGTCAACGTTGTATCCACCATCGGGAATAATGGTGGTGTCGACGGTGATGGCTACTTTGCCACCGAGTTTGACCCCACTTGGAACTTGACGGGGGATGGTTTACCAATAACTCCGTTTGGAATGAGAAAATTGCTAAATTACGTGAAAGAAAGTTACGGATCTTCCCTCCCAATCTACTTGATTAACGGATGTGGCGAAGTGGAAGGCGTGGATGGAACGGACGACACTTTCAGGGTAGACTTTTTCAAAATTCATATCAACGAATGCTTAAAAGCGGTCAAATTGGATGGAGCAAATGTCAAGGGGTTTACGGCGTGGAGTTTGATTGATAATTTTGAGTGGAGTGGAGGGTATACCGGTGAGTACTTAGTAAATTGAAATTATCTAAATTATTGAGGGTATTCATTTCGAGTTCGCATCGTTAGTAACGTTCGCAAAAAAATAAGTTTGACAAGTTCGCAAAAAAATAAGTTTGACAAGTTCGCAAAAAAATAAGTTTGACAAGTTCGCAAAAAAATAAGTTTGACAAGTTCGCAAAAAAATAAGTTTGACAAGTTCGCAAAAAAATAAGTTTGACAAGTTCGCAAAAAAATAAGTTTGACAAGTTCGCAAAAAAATAAGTTTGACAAGTTCGCAAAAAAATAAGTTTGACAAGTTCGCAAAAAAATAAGTTTGACAAGTTCGCAAAAAAATAAGTTTGACAAGTTCGCAAAAAAATAAGTTTGACAAGTTCGCAAAAAAATAAGTTTGACAAGTTCGCAAAAAAATAAGTTTGACAAGTTCGCAAAAAAATAAGTTTGACAAGTTCGCAAAAAAATAAGTTTGACAAGTTCGCAAAAAAATAAGTTTGACAAGTTCGCAAAAAAATAAGTTTGACAAGTTCGCAAAAAAATAAGTTTGACAAGTTCGCAAAAAAATAAGTTTGACAAGTTCGCAAAAAAATAAGTTTGACAAGTTCGCAAAAAAATAAGTTTGACAAGTTCGCAAAAAAATAAGTTTGACAAGTTCGCAAAAAAATAAGTTTGACAAGTTCGCAAAAAAATAAGTTTGACAAGTTCGCAAAAAAATTTGGCTTGAAAATAAATTTTTACGAACTTGAGCATCTACAGGGCTAGTATTTAGTTCGAAAAATAATTTTCACAAATATTTCAATGTGGAAAATTCTATAAATCTCTATTAATTATCGAAGTTTTTCGTTTTGAAATTTCCTATTTGGCAAGTTTCAGACGCAAAACTTCGGAATAGAGATTTACGAATTTTTCCCATTGCAAGATTTAAGACAATTGCCTCAAATTTTCCGAACTTTTTTATTTGCGAAGTGTCTTCACTTCGTTGCTTCGCAAAATTCGCAATTAAAAAAAATTATGCTGCGATGCGAACTCGTAATGAATAGCCCATTATTTTTAAACGCGTTCATTTTTATTAATTCAATTCATAAAAATATTTACATGTTTCTTAAATTTTTCTCAAACAGTTAAATACGGAGTTCATTCGGTCAATTCTGCAAATATGGTTAGGACACCGAAATCTTCTGCGCTATATTTATCACAAGTCATTTCTGATAATGGATTTCCTGCTCCCAAGTAAAAAAGTATGCAATAAAAACATTATATAGAATTAACATTCTAACTTTTTTAAACGATCCTGAAATTTAAAAAATAAAATAAAGTTCGGAAATATATGCATAATCTTGAAAATACTCTTCATAAATTATTTCATTTTGATCTCACATTTATGAAGTCACGGTTTAACATAAATAGAATTTATTAATAAACTCATTTCTTGCTCACCATGAACTGACCTCAGCCTCCCGTAGAGAACAGACCTTCATATTTCGTGAATATTTTGTTAGTAGTCGTGTAAAACGAGAGTAAAAAAAATATGCATAAATTTTGAGAATATTACACACGTTTAAGTTGCGTGACAATTTTATTTTCACGCGTGTGTTGGAGGCAACATATTTACACAGGTATAATGTACATAAAACTCCCAAGTTTTCTCCGCAGTAAATTGAGTGTGTAAAATATACATTAGTCCCCTCTAAAAGCTGCTCTCGTTAAAATGAAAGGTAAAACGCGGATAATATGAATCACTAAGTGAAGTGCGACGCAAGGAAAACTTTTCGTCGGGTATTTTAGTTTCATCGTAGCAGCAGAGAAGACCAGACATGTTCTCCGTCGTCAAATTCAAAACTGATAATTCCGTACAAGTTGTGTCGTCAAATTGGTTGAGTGACGACAAAAAATACTGCCACTGGCCACCCGGACCGAACTCTAATCCAACAGCAAAAATCAAAAAGCACGAAGTTCCCACTAGCAAATGGCCAAAGCTGGAAGTGAAATTCTGGAAAGCTACAGGTAACCAATTATTATATAATTCTAAATATTTTATACTCAATTAAATTATATGTCCCCTAGATAATTACAACGAAGCCAGAAATCTGGAGAAGGCCGCAAGGGAAACATCTGACCTTGATACAACGGATACTGAAACGACGTCACTTTCAAGTGCAAACGCGGCTGCACACTCAAGTCCACTTATTATAAGCACTGACAATTTTCAATGCATGAACGAGACCTTATCTAATCCGGCGGATAATGTCTTAACCATTAAGGGAATCAATCATCCATCATCAAGTAAGTCCAGTTTAGTAAAAGTCCACAAGTAAATAATTAATGAATACAAAATAATACACATTTAATAAATAAATATTGCACTGCATTCAGGTCTGATTCAATTTGAGGACCAGATTTTTCAAGTAGACGTATTCAACAACGCCACATTCCCGCACGATTCGAATAATTCAGAGGAAGGAGGAAGTAGCGTAGCACCATTAGCAAGACCTGTCGAAAATAATCAAGCTCAATCCTCCGCGGCAGCGATTCCAACATCATGTGAAGATTTGCTCTCTGAAATCTTGAAACGACAGCTTGGTATGGTTATATATATTTATAATAGAAAGTACAGCCGGGTTTTGAACTTATCTTTTCTAGCATTAGAGCGGTTGGTGGGTGAAGGATTTGCTGCAATTAAAGACGATAATAGGAGCATTCTGGGACATTTGGGAGGGAAGGATTCAGAGCCAAATGTTTTGCTTCCAGTCGACATCCCTTTAACATGTGCTGCTGACTTTTCTGAACTTGACACTTGGCTGGAAGATGCGACAAATTCAAAAAAACTGGTACAGTTTGACCTTAGATTATGTTATGATTAGTTTAAACACGACTTTTTTAGTAATATTGTGATTAAAGTATGGTTTGTTTTCAGGAACACATTTTCTGTGCAATCGGAGGGAAATCCATACAGAAAGTCGTGTCAGGAATTATGAAAAGGATTTTCTCCAAGGAACTCGCGGCAAAAGTCAATTGGAACGGACACAACGAAAAAATTCGCTTTGAAATTTCAAACCTCTGCAAAGTTGTCATTGGTAAAGTCATGCTGCGATATATTTATCCGATGAGCATCATTAATAATAAGAGTAGTCAAGGTTAGCGATTATGTGAATAATAATCGTTTCCGATTATAATTCAAAACTGTGAGTACCCCGATTAATTTTTCCGATCAATTAAAACGAGATTTTTTTTTTCAAGAAACGAAAATACACAAGTAAATTGTGGTCATGGAGATGTTGCTTCGCTTTAAATGTTAATTTGAAAAGACGATTATAATCCAAAATAATCGTGTATTTAGACGATCATTTTTTTGCGAAAAATAATCTAATCGCCCATAGAGAATTTTGACCGGATTATAATCAGGAATCGATTATAATCCACATAATCGCTAACCTTGACTATCCCTAATATATTTACGAATTATTATTTAACATTTTAGCTGCTGCTCGAGCGACAAAGACAGAACAAAGTACAGAGCTGCCTGCCGTTACCGAAGTAGCGAAGCACATTCAGAACTGGCTTCGAAATCAAAGGGAATTTGCTGGACAGTGTCCACCATCGAAAAATGTCGTCGTACAGAAGCAAAAGAAGAAGGATCAATGAGGGGACAGAGCGATTTGTTCAATCAATTCAATCAGCGTTAGGCAATGGAAAACAAGAAGAAAGCGAGCAAAGTATTAGTAACACTTTAGTTTTAGATAATAGTATCAACATTAGTTTAGAAACTAGTATTTTAGGTGACAAAAATATTACTTCCTTTGTTGAGAATTCTAATTTCATTGATATTGACATTGATATTGAGTCTCAGCCTCAACCAGTGCCCAGAACACTAGATTTCAAAGAAAGTCTCAAATTATGGAGCCTTCAGCACAATATAACTCATTCAGCTTTGAGTGATTTACTTAAAATTGTTAACTCGGAATTTCCTGACGTAAAGCTTCCTAATTGTTCGAAAACATTTTTGAGAACCCCTAGAATCATTTCAGTTGAAGATATTGCTGGAGGGCAATATTTTTATTTTGGAATAGAAAACCAAATAAAATCCTTGTATGATTCAAATAATTTAATTTTTAGTTTCGAATCAATTTCATTATTATTTGGCTGTGATGGGTTTCCAGTTACTGAAAGTTCGAGTACTCAAATGTGGCCAATCTTATTTAGAATTAAGGAATTTACCAAAATTAGGCCAATTTTAGTTGGACTTTTCTGTGGAGAAACAAAGCCTACGTCTTTGAGGGAGTATTTAGAGAAATTCATTGATGAAATCTATCATTTACAACAAAGTGAAATTCAGTTAACTAGCGAAAAAAAAGTAAAAATAGTTTTGTATTGTATCGTTTGTGACACCCTTGCCCGTAGTTTCCTAAAATGTATAAAAGGACATTCAGGCTATAGTTCTTGTGAACGTTGTGACATCGAAGGATTTTATGATGGTCATGTGTATTTCCAAACTGAGGTAGGGAATTTAAGAACAAATGAATCTTTTCGTAACAAATGTGACCCTGACCATCACCAGTCTGACTCACCCCTATTAAGATTAGATTTAGATTTGGTTGGCCAGTTCGTGTTGGACTATATGCATTTATTTTGTCTAGGAACAATGCGAAGACTTTTATATCTATTTATTTCCGGCCCGTTGTCGTGTAGGCTATCCTCTAGAATGATGCAGATGATCTCTGATTATTTAGCGTCAATAAGAAAAAATTTTCCCCGAGAATTCTCACGCCGACCTCGAGGCTTAGCTGAAATAAAAAGATATAAAGCCACAGAATTTAGACAATTTCTTCTATATACTGGTCAATGTGCTTTAAGAAATGTTGTGCCTGGCAAAAACTTAAAACATTTCTTACTTTTTCATACTGCGGCGTATATCTTATTATCTCCTAATGCAAATAATATTAAATGGAATTCTATCGCTAAAGCTCTTCTTTCCAAATTTGTTCAAGAAATGGCTGAAATTTATGGTCGTAAAAGTATAGTTTATAATGTACATGCGATGAATCATATTGCAGACGATGCACTTAAATTTGGTTCATTAGACAGTATTAGTGCTTTCGCATTTGAAAGTTATTTGTTTTCTATAAAAAAGTTAATTAGAGGGAATAATTTACCATTACAGCAAGTTGTAAAAAGAGTGATGGAGTGGGGGCAATGTCAAATTTCTAAAAGTGCTGAACATACTGTGAAAATTTCCAACAATATTGTAAAAATGTCAAAAAAGACAGAACTCAAAAGATACAGGATTTTGTCGTACTGGGTAACATGCAAGATGGGTGACAATTGCTTCATTTTAAAAAATAATGATATCGTAATTGTTGATAAAATATTTAAACTCGAGGATGACGTAATGATTAGATGTAAAAAGTTCGATAAAATCACATCAGTTCCAGATTATCCTTTTGATAGTTCACTTCTTGGAATAGTTAATGTATCCATAAAGCATTGTTCAACTATTATTATTAACGTGCAGAGTATTGTAAATAAGTGTGTACTAATTCCTTGCCAATTAGATAGTGTAGATACATTTACTTGCATTCCAATGTTAAAAATCATTGATTAAAATTAATAAAGGATGTTATGTACATTAATCAGTAATCTGCATGTTAAATGATCTGGGTAAAATGCATACACAGCAAGCAAGAATTATGCACGTTTTATTTGCGTGGTTGGGAAATATTTACGCACATTTTATTTTCATCTTGCATACCATAATACGTGCGTTATCACTGTGCGGTAAACGCACGTTTTACTTGCGTAGCTTAACGTGTGTATTTTCTGTGACCCGCTCTGCCATTTTATACAACATAAAATTCGTGCGTTTTATTTACGGTATACCAAAGAAATATGCAATCCGTTCTTTACGGGCTTTTGTGTTTATAATTGTATGAATTTTTGCACAGAATAAGTAAATCTCAGTCAAGTGTTACATTACAGATGCACTTTGTGCACGTACATGAGACGACGCACGTGGTTTAATCAAAATGTAAACAAAGGTGTGTAGGTAAACGGGCGAAAAGTGTGCTTTTGACCAACTTTTTTTATGTTAAGACATGGTTTAAATATTATGACTGAACTTTCATCAACGTTTGTAACCTTTGTAACCGCGTAAAGTTTGTAAGCTATTTTACGAACCTTTACACACATTAGAAGGAAATTTGACTTACGAACGCGTACGAAACTTACGCACCTCAAAAGCATGTTTTTAGTTCATAAACGAAATTGGAGTTTTTAATATTTGAATTTTCAGTTGAAATCAAGAACGAGAAATTTTTTAGCATGCTTATGAAAATGCTTATGAAAATCTTTATGAACGAAGTGAACTCACGTCAAGCGTGTGTAAACTGATAAATCTAACGCAGTTGCGTAGTTGAAGTGAAGTCCTTCATTCTTTTACGTATATCGGTACATAATTCACGTAGCCTTTGTAAATTGAAGGTTTTATTGAGACAAATCTTGGCAACTTTGTAAAATCCATGCGTATTGTAAAATAATTTTACAAACTTTTACAAAATAAAAAGACACCCTTGATCGGAGTAAGTTTACAAAAATTTGCGAGTTAATTTTCCTTCGAAATATTTATAAAATTTTTTAAAAGTTTGTAAGTTTACTTACTTACAGAATTTACGATTTTATAATGTTACCAAGGACTGCGGAAATTTCCTCATTTGTAAAGTGTGCTGAGGTGACTCGTGTAAGGCTTTGTAATCTGTGTAAAGCGGTGTATATTTTTTTTGGATTATCGATTATTTTGCTTGACAATTCTTGGTAAATTTACATTATCCAACATTTTACAACTTTGTATTTTTTCAACCTAACCATACAAATCATACTTCGAAATCTGCACAAGCTTAAAAATTCTAGTATAGTAGGCCACTGTTAAGAGATCATCTGATATTCAATTTCGTTTACAAGATTTACAAACAATACAAATTTGGCGTTAAATCCATTCATGATTTCATGAATATTGCTAAAATTTGTTGAAATTCAGATTTGAATTTTAAATTATATGTTAAAAACCTTTTCCTTTTTTTATAAAACATTTCAATCAGTCCTTTGTAACATTGAGGGATTTCACGTCAAGTTCGTAACCTACGTAACTGCGTTAGGTTTGTAAGTTTACACACTCTTGACGTGAGTTGAGTTTGTAAACATTTTCGTAAACATTTTTTAGTGAAAAAAATATCGTACATAAAACGTCATCAAAATGTTGCTAGCCAACTTTATCCTAGATTAGACCAAATAAAATGCAATTATTTTTGAATTTTTTTGCCCAAAATATCAGTTTTTCAGGAATTACAAAGCCATTTCTTAAGTCATAAAATTCTATAATATACCAAAATGATCGTATGATCAAGACCGATCGATTGACACCCCACTGGATGAAGTGTGTCAATTTAGCCCGGATTTGACATTTGGGGGCTGGTCGGATAGCGACCAATATTTTCCGCTGGAGCAATCTTTTGTTTGAGTAATTAAATTAATTTGCATGATGATGAAAAATTTACAATAGACAATTCATCTCTAAGACAATTTCAACCGAAAATGCAAATATCAAACACTTGAATTATTTACGAACTTTTATTTACGAACCAAAAACATGCTTTTGAAGTGCGTAAGTTTCGTAAAAGTTCGTAAGTCAATTTTCCTTAGAAATGTGTGTAAAAGTTTGTAAAAGTTTGTAAGCTTACAAACCTTACGCAGTTACGAAGGTTACAAACTGTGACGTGAGTTCCCTCATTGAGTCATTTCACGACAACCTTCGTAACCTTACGAAGATCAGCTTACGAACCAAAAGCATGCTTTTTATTTTCGTAAGGTTTTGTAACTTCGTAAGCAAAAATTATTTACCTTCGAATTCAAAATGTTCCTAAGTTTCGTCAAAAGTTGATAAACTTCGTAACTCCATAAACTTAAAACTTTTACATAATTTTTCAAATATTTTTAAAGAATTTTGCCAGGATAATAAAATTAGTTATGAAATTGACACAGATTAAAAAGTTTTAAACTCATCAAACTTTTTATTACATACAGAAATAATAAATAATTATTTCAGATTCAGTTCAGAAACGATTTACAAATTCGTTTTGGACCCTGATCAAAATCTTTTGCTTGAATTAATGCAATTTTTAGTAAACAAAAATTGCTAAGTTTACAAACTTTCAAACTCGTCAAACTATTTACCAAGATGACACAAAGTGAACAATCTGAAGATTGTTTAAGATATAACGAATTAATTAAAATATTAAATCCGACGTTAAGGCGAGTTCACGAAAAATTAAAATCGGAAACGATAACAATTTTGTGAAATGAAAAATTTTGACAAAAAAAATATGATTTTTTTCTGTTAAAATACTGATTTTATTTTATACCTCGTTCGTACATAGATATATTCATACGTACATACATATGCAAATTAGGTCGATGAGCAATTTACTAATGCGTAGAGTTGTTCACGCCCAGGCATTTTTGCCCTATTTGACAAGAATTTTGAAAACAGGGAATTTTGAATTGATTTTCGAATTGTTAAGTTTTTAGAAAATTAAATCAATTTTTCCTTTTATGTAGTAGCTTTACTTATAGATTTCTGAAATATGTCTGGTTTTATTTAATTAAATAGAATGAAGATTAAAATTGTAGCAGTTAATAAGTATCCAACAAACTTTCAATTAATGCCCAATAAATGCAAAATAGAAGCTCAATAAATACCAATTAATGCCAAATTATTGCTCAATTAAAGCAAAATTAATGCCAAACAAATCCCAATTAATGCTCAATTAAAGAAAACTTAATGCTTAGAAATACCAATTAATGCCTAAATAACGCCTTAAATTTCCATACATACCTGGCATTTTCGTTTGAGGACATAAATCGCACAATGTGCTTATTACGTACGTACGGAAAGGCAAGTACTGGCATCGTACAAATCTGCTAATGCAAATGTGGGTCTCCAACTTTTTGTCAAAATTATTGCTGCAACGAGTTAAGTAATTTAATTAAAGTTTTTCTAGCTTTTTTGGTGGAAAAGAGTATGCCAAATGCAAAACTGGGGTTGAAATGAAGTAGAATTATTTCGTGTTGAAATTGAGTGAAGATAAATAAAACGTGGCTGAGCTGAGATCTCAAATTATTGGAGTTGAGGAGGGATGTGCGTAAAGGGTGGGATGGTTTCGACCTGTATTCGTAAATAATTCGGTAAACAATTTGGTAAATAATTCGGTAACTCAGTAAACAATTTGGTAAATAATTCGAAAATTCGGTAAAAAGTTTGGTAAATAATTCGGTAACTCGGTAAACAATTTGCTAAATAATTCGTCAATTTTATGATCAATTCGGTAATTTGGTAATTTGGTAGCACAAATAACTCGATAATAAACCATATTACCAACATGACCAAAACTACCAAGTTTGGTAGCATTTTATAGCTTGCTTGATAATCATAATATGTGCCCAGAAATTCTGGTATTCAAAGTATTAACGACCACATGAATATCTGTAACTAATACCATTTTGGTAGACCTTACCAGGTCTACCAAAATGGACACATGGTCGCCGCCCGGTAACAAATTGCTACCAGATAAACTCATACAATTGTTGACACATTTCCTGCCCGGCCCCTCACTTTTACATACTTGGCTGGGTTTTTAAACGCTTTGTTGAGAAAAAAAATCCCATGAAAAAAGGAAAGTGATTCTGATCTTGTGTTTTTTTGCATTGATAACTTTTAAGTGTGGCTAATTTGCAAATTCTTTTTGCTAATTTGTGTATGTGCACTTTTTTGCGAGTCTGCCGGTTCAGCACTGATGAGTTAAATGAATCATTTCATAACATAGATGTATGCGAAATTATTTGGTGTGAATCTCATCACGCGTGTGAATTCGTTTAAGAGATGCTGTTAAATTTGCACATTTATTTATTTATTATTTAAATCGTTGCTACATTAATTAAGTTACGAGTGGGATATTTAATTAGATAATGTTTATGGCTGTTTAGCCACCTTTTGTATTTTTTGTATTGTATACACATTGGTAAAAGGAACTTTGGGATGAATAAGTTTCTTGAGCTGGTTGAGAAAGGATGGGAAGGAATGGAAGGAATTTTGGAAATTTTTGAGCAATTTGGAATTTTGAGCTATTTTTGTTTGAATTTGAGAGGTAGGTTTTTGGAAATATAGATATTTTTAAGGAATTTGAGACAGGAGAAAGAAGAAATTATGAAAATATAGAAATTCTGAAGGGTTCGAAGAACAGGAAATAGAAGAAATTTTGAAAATATGGAAATTTTGGGATATTTTCAAACAGAAAATGAAAGACATTATGAAAATATAGAAATTCTGAAGATTTTTTGAGACAGGAAATGGAAGACATTATGAAAATATAGAAATTCTGAAAAATTTTGAGACAGGAAATGGAAGAATGATGAAAATATAGAAATTTTGAAGACTTTGGAGACAGTATTTAAATAAAAGAAATTATGATAATACTAGAGTAGAGGCCCGTTCAAGAACGGGTTCTAGGCTCCCAGAGGGGGTGTGCCCATAGCGCAAAATCCCCTACGCTACACTTCAAATAATTCCCAGTGGAGACTTTGTCCATTGTCATAATACATATGTACGTGTATCAAATCATACATTTCAATTTCCCTGATCACGGAACAATTTGACTTCCCCCTCTTGTAGTGGCTGCATAGGTAACTACTTAAATTCCCGTCGCGTGAGGGTGGCTGCATAGCTAACTACTTAAATTCCCGTCGCGTGGGGGTGGCTGCATAGCTAACTACTTAAATTCCCGTCGCGTGGGGGTGGCTACATAGCTAAACGTTTAAATTTCCACAGGATGTGGTGGCCGAATGACAAAAACCTTAAATTTCCAGAGAGGGGGTGACTAAAAAACAAAACACTTAAATTTCCAGAGAGAGGGGTGATTAACTAACAAAAAACTCAAATTTCCAGAGGGAGGGGTGACTGCATAGCAAAAAAGTGAAAATTCCAGAGAATAGGATATGAATTTTATGCTGCTGGTATGTTTACAATTCTACTGCAAGAAGATAGAGACAAAGTGTCGCGGCAGAGTCATCATGGGTACGCTCAATGGTGTAGCGGAGCACACGCTGGTTGCGTAAACTCCATTCAATAGTAGTGGGGCGAGTTGCATTGAGAGCCACAGGGACCCAGCCAGCCAGAACTTAACAATAGCTCTTTATGCATATAGATATTTAGAAGTTCTCAGAAATTTTAAGTCACCTAGAATGTAGGAAATTTTTAGCTAAATTTTATAGGAAATAACCAAAATTTCGAGTAATACAATTTCCCAAAGAAATTAAGCGATTAAAGGAAAAGAATAATCAGAACAGAAAAGAAAATCAAAAGTTTACCAAGAATTTTAGGAAATATATAAATTTTTAGGAACAAAACATACATAATTATTCTAACTCTTCATCTACACAACTTTTAATTTGGACGGTGACCACGTGGTGCTGTTTACTCATGGTTGTTGTGGTCACCTGGTCAACTTGATTGTGATGACTAGTTGACGGGGTGCAGGTAATTATGGTCACTTTGTCTTCTCCTACTTCCGGTTCGGTTGAGGTAATTTTGGCTGGTTGGTTTTTCGAGGGGGGAATTTCCCCCTCGTTGTTTTCTTGGCAGGGAGTCGTACTGGCACTAGTTGATTGGGTGACGGCAGCGTTCTGTTCATTAGTTTGCATCGTGGTTATCGTGGAATTATTATTTTGCGGGGGTCGAGTTGCCTCAGAAACGACGTCATCGTAACTCGGTGGGGCTGGAAATATGGGAAATTTTTCTATTAAAGAACGTTATATTTTTTTGAAGATTTCAGTTTTCACGAAAAAAAGTGAGGCAATTCAAGCAGGCCTTACGAGGGAACCTCTTAAAGTGCCCGGAGCTCCCAGCATAACCACTATGTACATTCGACGTAGATTTTAATACTAGTCCGATGATGTGACAAAATTTCCGTGTCAAAATGACATTTCGTCAAGTGGTGACGACTTTAGTGACGCGCCGAACGGTCACTTTCGCCCATGCCTTCAAAAGAGGAACGCTTTTCACCACTCGCTCCTCACACATCTCACTTAAATCTCAACCCATTTACTCATTGAGTAAACTCGCATCCAATTTAACTGTTTTGACAATATGATCCTTGTTTACTATTTGTAGCCTTTTAATATTATTTTTTACTTTGAAATATTCGGAGTTTAAAAATTATAGAATGTCTATAATTGTATCAATTTGTGAGTCTGTTCTTAAAATCGCCAAGGACAGGTATTCGGGAGATTCGAACGCTTCATCAATTCCAGTTAACAATGTTGAAATTGTTGACCGGGTTTTGCGTTTTGTGGAAGATTTAGTTGATAATTCAAATACGGACTTTGAATCTTCTATTACTTTAGAATTTGATTATGATTGTGATATTGACACTTATGTCGAGGCATACGATTTAATTAGTGATAGTGATACAATAAATGAATTTCACGAGGATTCTGAAGATGAGCAAGACGTCGAGGAAGCTTCTGCAAGTCTGTCGCAACGAACCTCCCAGGAATGGGAGGAAGACGATGTCGACGGTGTAAATTTTACCTATCAAGAGATGGTGAATATTCTTAACTTCTACAATCGTGCCAAAAAATATAAATTAGAAAAGACAAGGCGAAGGTATAGTAAAGTTCGTGATTATAAATCCATCCATCGTATGCGAAATTATGTCGAAAAAATGGGTTGAGAGTTAAGTGAGATGAGTGAGGAGCGAGTGGTGAAAAGCGTTCCTCTTTTGAAAGCATGGGCGAAAGTGACCGTTCGGCGCGTCACTAAAGTCGTCACCACTTGACGAAATGTCATTTTGACACGGAAATTTTGTCACATCATCGGACTAGTATTAAAATCTACGTCGAATGTACATAGTGGTTATGCTGGGAGCTCCGGGCACTATAAGAGGTTCCCTCGTTAGTCACATCGTGAAATTCGTAATTTATATCTTACATTGAAAATTAAACAGAGATTTGAAAATTTTTGGTCTAAAATTGCAACATTTTACACCCAAATTCGTGTTTTAAAAGAATTTGTATAGTTATGAACAAACGACTCAGATTCAAAAATATTTAGGTTTATGGGGTTTATCTGGCTTGTAGGAAATTTGGAGCTTCATGAACATCAGAAATTTACCAATTTGTGTTGTTTTACTTAATCCCTTTTAGTGTAGATTTTTAAGCAAAATTTAAAAAAATAACAGGGTTGAGAATTAAGCTGGAAAAATCTGACCAATTTGTTAATAGTGAAAAATGTAGATTTTTAATTGCAATTCACGCAGGCCTTGGTAACTTTTTAAAATTCCGTAAACTTACAAATTTGTCCAAAATTGTATTCACATTCAGAAGGAAACTTAGGTTTCAAATTTTCGTAAACTTACTCAGGTCAAGGGCGTGTCTCTGATAAATCTCGTAATTAATATTTAAAAATGGAAATTTGAATATTTCTTTGTATAAAATTGAACCATTTTACAGCCAAATTAATGTTTTATAAGAATTAGCTATGTATGAACAAATTTAGGTGCTCGGTGTCTTTTTCTCTAGAGTTTTAAGGTTCGTAAAAGTTTTGCAGTTTCGTGTACGTATACCCATTAGAAATTTACCAAATTTTGTGCTATTCTTATTTCTTTTAGTGTAAAATTTTAAGCAAAAATAAAAACCCTCCTTAGAAATGATCTGGAAAAAATCTGATATATTTGTCATGAAAATGAAAATGTTTGATGCAACTTTAAAGCGAAGAAATTCACACAGGCCTTGGTAACATTTTAAAATCCGTAAATTCTATAGACTTAAAAACTTTACAATATTTTAAAAATATTTGGAAGGTAAATTAGCTCCCAAATTTTTGTAAACTTTCTCAGATCAAGGGCGTCTCTTTATTTTGCAAAAGCTTGCAAAATTATTTCACAAAACGCACCGATTTTGCAAAGTTACCAAGGACTGCGTGAATTGCCTCAGTGAATTGCCTCAAATAATGAAATGTGTAACATACGAGATTCTCGTCTCCTCCGGCTCTGCAAATTTCTGAGTCTCCGATAGATCCCGTAATTGTGGTGGTGGTTGTGATGGTGAAGATGGTGGGCTTGAGGGGAAATATGAGGAGGGGGACAATGTCGACAAGGATGATGACCTTGACCTTGATTTTGACCTTGACCTTCATTCGTGCCGCCCACAAGAGACGAAGACGAACCGTGGTGGTGGATCAAAAATCCTGGCGAAAATTGTGACGGGTTCGTCGTCGGAGGGGTCGTGCTACTCATGGGACAAGTGTCATCGTGGTGATGGTGGCGAAATCGTGACCTTGACGAGATGAGGGGAATTGTGCCAATAATTATGGGAACTTTGGTCGTTAAAGGGTCAACTGTGGCGGATTTTGGGGAAAGTTCGACCTATGACAAAGTTGATAAAGGTTAAAATTAGAACATTTAGTGGGGACAGATTTTTCTAAGGCTTTATGCAAATTATAACTTCGTATGTAACCGTGTGGATTTTTATGAATTTTTGGTACATATTCACATTTTTTCATTTTTCATAATAAGAATTACTTCTTAAAGCTAAGCTGAATTAGTAGATTTTTGCATATGCACATTTGCATATTTATGCAAAAATCTGCAGGTGAAAAGCAGTAATTTTTGCAAGCCTTTATGCCTAGATAGATGAAATTATAATTTTTTGCGCAATTTTGTACCTACAACAGTGCAAATTTTTATGGATTAATAGATACATATTACATACACACATTTTAAATTTTTTTATATGCAAAAAAATCTGCAGATGATAAGCTGTAAGTAAATTGTACTGCAAAATAATAGCATCTGTATAAATTTAGAAAATTTATCAGAATTTTTTCTACCTGCATGAAATAGTTTAGACTTAAGACGGGACTGAAATTGAGTAAATTTCCTAAATTTGTGGGTGGAATGTTGTCCGGAATTTTGAGGCGACCATCCCATATTTGAATCTGAAAATATTATTGTTCTTTTTATTTCTATGGATAAACTAAATATTTTGAAATAATTGACGAAATAGTTAATAGATTGATAATTGTAATACAGTTAAAGTTGCGAATTAAATTGCTAATTAAACTAGTAATTTTGAAAGTTTTTCACCTCTCCGGACGCAACGGCAGGACCACGGACCTCTTCAATCACAGAGGAAGACGACTGTTTCCCGTCTTGAACGATTTCCTATGCAAATGATAAGGATTGATAAGCACTGTGTAAATTTCGCGGTTTCATATTTGCATATGAAATTCGGTAAATTTTATAGCGAATTTTAACTCGTTAACAACTTGTGCCATGGTTAAATTTGTAATGAGACAATTCACGCAGTTATTAATAATTTGTAAAGTCCATACATTTTGTAAAATAATTTGACAAACCTTTACCAAATAAAGAGACCAAAGCGCCCTTGATGTGAGTAAGTTTTTGCAAAAATGTGTACGCTAATTTTACTTCGAAATACATATTTGGAAAAGTTTGTAAGTTTACAGAATTTATGGATTTTACAATGTTAGTACCAAGACTTGCATGAATTATCTCAATGTTTCCAAAATCTCGTTAAATTTCCGAGACTCTGACTCATTTACATCAAATTCGAACTTGCAGCTTACTACGACACTTAAAAACACAAAACCCACGTAGCCATACAATTTTGGCAAGGAATTTTGCAAACTAAAAACTTATGAAATAAAAAATATGCCCATTTTTGGATTAAATTATTTGGAATAGAACGGATCGTTTTTTCACTCAAAATCTGTCAAATTTCATAAAACTTGCAAATACTGATCAGGGGCTCGTTTTGAGATTTGCGAATATTTTTTAATCCAACGTATCAAGACAAAATAAAGCACGAATTCCGCACGTGTGAAATTATACTGATCTGGAAAAATTTAAGAGATTTTATCATTTTAATTCCTGGCAAAAAGGGTACGTCCGGCACGAGTACAACTCTACGCATAAATAAATTGCTCATCGACCTAATTTGCCTATGTTCGAACTATGTATCAATTAAAAGCATTATTTTAACACGGCAAAAAGTCCCATTTCTTGGTAAAAATTTATCATTTTTACCAAGTGGTATCGTTTACGATTTTAATTTCGTGTACTCGCCTCAACGTCGGATTTAATATTTTGATCAAAATAGTTAAGTTTACATAGTTTTTAGATGGACCGGTCTCCTGATCCGAGTGAGGTATTTTTTTTTGCACATATTTTTTTCGCGAATGTATGTGCCTACATGCAATTTGTTAGCACAAAATATAGCATGACTTGACCACGTGCAAAGTATACTGATCTGGATAAATTTGCGAGGTTTGCGAATATTTTTTTGCATATGCACCCACGTGATGCAACTTATTAACACAAAATAAGCCACGTGCCTACCTGGATCAACGTGACCCTCAACCGTTTCGCATCCACTTTTGACAAATTCTTCACACTGATCTGAAACGTGGCCGCGTGTCCTCGAACAAATCCGGATTTTTGCATGAGAAATGAAAATCCAAACGGTCCAGATTTTGTGAGGAGGTGATTCACATATTTTGAGGCGGACGCTTGCGCCGGAAGTGGTGCGATGGGGTCAAGGTTGAGATCGTGGACGCCATCGACGCTGAGACGAACCGAGGTTTTTTTGTCGTCTTTCCACCCACAGCGAGTGAGTCGGGCTTCGACGAAGTAGAGGACGTTGCCACGCCCCCAAACGAAGGACGAGGGCAGGCCGTGTGGGAGTGTGAAGGAAAACGGAAATAAGGTTTCGCCCACGGAAAGTGTGGAGTCGCGACCGTCTAGAAAAAATGGGGATAATATTTTGTCAATATTTTTGGACTTAATATTTTACAGCGTGGTTAATTTTTGGACTAAATGTGGTCCAATTAGATGCATTTTTTAAATTTTCGACTAAATGAAAGCGTGGAGTCGCGACCGTCTAGAAAAAAATGGGGGAAATATTTTGTCAATATTTTTTGGACTTAATATTTTCTAATGTAGTTAATTTTTGGACTAAATGTGGTCCAATTAGGTGCAATTTTTTAAATTTTCGACTAAACGTTGTCAAATTTTTAGCAATATTTTCAAATTTTGGACTAAATCTTGATTTTTTGCCTTCGATAAGAACTACAAGCTATTCGCTATGAGTTATTAGGGGAATTTTTTTTACCGTGCGGAACATTTGTTTTTCTTGCTAATTACTAATTTATAAAATGTTAGACTTCTTATAGATCTAAGCTTTCAGTTTTTGTCTTAAAATAAATCGTTTGCTGTAAACGGCGTCAACTTTCGACAATTTTCAATTTTTTTTAGACAATTAAAAATATAGGTACATACACATTTTGCAAATATTTCAAAGATGTGAGACGAATGATGACGAATGATGAGACGATACTTTTTGCTAAGAAATTCAACCACAAAAAAAGTCCAGAGCATTATGTAAATTCAAATAGACAAATTCTTATTTTTATATTCTTCGTAAATATTTTGGCGTTTTTTCGTAAATATTACATTATTATTTCAGTAATTATGTACCACCCTATTGTTTTACTCATAATTTTGTAATACGAAATTAAATGAGAATTTGACTCACCATGTCCAAAAATGTCCACTTTATCATCAAAATATAGCTCCTTTTTACTCGATCTTATCGGATTTTCGATCTCCGATAATATCCTATTTGCCCTCCCTAAAATCCTGATCGATAAGCCTTTCACCTTCTGCGGCGTGGTGGACCTTATCACCACGACGTGACCGGAAACCACCTCTCCTGGCGAATAACTCGCCTTTTCGAAGGCGATCATCATCGGCATCTTGTTTTTCCAGAAATGTAAACCAAGGTCACACTGATATAATTTACTTATTTTAAGGGTCACATAATAAACTTAGAGGTCAGCCAAGGTCACGCTTTAATTTAAATATTTTTAGGGATCACATAATAACTTAACTCACTCACAAAAACCAAACCTCACTTAACCGAGGTCACATTACGACTGGCACAATAAACTTAAGTAATTAGTTAACAGTTCATTTAAAGTGTGAAAATGGATCCGTTTTGTAATTAGTTAGTTAACATTCTTTTCTTGGAAACAATTAGCGTCTAGTCTGGAACTGGAATGAAATACAGCACATTAATACAAAAATTCTGGCACACTGAACTAAAAACTGGAATAATTAGTTAATTGACGTACGTGTGACGTGTATATATTTAGAAGTATTTAGTGTCTGGAAAAATGCAACGCATTAATTGTCATGCAAGTCACAAAAAATTTCACACTGAACTCGATATTATTTTCTTAAACTGGAATAATTAGTTAATTAACTTGGAAATAATTAGTGTCTGGCTGGAAGAATGCAACGCATAACGCATTAATTATTTTATGCAGGTCAAAATATTCAACACGCTGAACTCGATATTATAAATTCGAATAAATTTTCAACACACCGAACTCGATTTTATTTTCCTAAATTCGAATAATTAGCTAATTAACTTGGAAATAATTATTGTCTGGAAGAAGAATGCAGCACATTAATTATTATGCAAAAAATATTGCAGAAATTTCTGACACACTGAACTAAAAACTGGAATAATTAGTTAATTAGTGTCTGGAAGAATTAATTATTATGCAAAAAAGGTAAAATTTTATACATTTATGATGGAAAGTGAGTCTTAAAACGTAAAGTTAATGGTTTCGCATGCAGTTTACCTGACGAAACGAACAGTGAGACTGAGACGCTGAGCTGAAAATGAAATCCAATCCATACAAGATTTTGCAAAGTTGTTTTGTTGGTTAAATTCGTATGCGAGTTAACGTAAGGTAAGTTAAGTTGAGGTTATGTCATGTTAAGAATGAATTACGTGAAGGTTTATGTATGTAAGCAGGCAGCGCAACTAGCATACCATAAACTCCTCCCTGGATCCATTTATCTTTTTAGGGACACTCAAGAACGGATCCAAAATGTGAACATGTGCGATCGACTTGAAATTCTAAAGTTAAGGGTTTACTGACCTTAAAAATTTATCAAGACTATATTTTCATCGCCATGACCTTTTTTTCGACACCGTATGACCTGAATGAGTAAAATTGGGTGCCCGACTTGAAATTCAAAATTTAAGGGTTTTGTGACCTTAAAAATGTATTTCTATTTTATTTTCATCGCCATGACCTTTTTCGACACCATATGACCTGATTTGCCAAAATTCATCATCAGTCGATCACCCAATTTTGGCCAATGAGATCATATGGTGTCGAAAAAGGTCATGGCGATGAAAATAAAATAGAAATAAATTTTTAAGGTCACAAAACCCTTAAATACTGAATTTCAAGTCGATCACCAAATTTTACCCAGTCAGGTCATATGGTGTCGAAAAAAAGGTCATGGCGATGAAAATATAGTCTAAATAAATTTTTAAGGTCAGTAAACCCTTAACTTTAGAATTTCAAGTCGATCGCACATGTTCACATTTTGGATCCGTTCTTGAGTGTCCCTAAAAAGATAAATGGGAGGAGTTTATGGTATGCTAGTTGCGCTGCCTGTATGTAAGTAAGTACTTACCTGGTTTGGTGGTTTGGTGGTGGTGTGTTAAGTAGTAAAGTAAATGGTTGTTGAGGTTGAGAGATGTGGAAAACTGGTGGGTGAGCACGTGCGAAAAGGATGTGATGGATTCTGAGGGTGTTTTTCTTAAGGGTGCAGGTGTAATGGGTCCTTCATAAGGTGAATTCTGGCTTAGGAAGAAAAATTAATTTAAATTAGTTTAAAATTATTGAAAAAAAATTATGAAAGCAAATTTTTAATTTATGAAATATGGGAATTATGATATGGGAATAAATAACTTTTTAAAAAAATATTAAAATTTTATGAAAACAATTATTTAAAAAATGCCTATCACTTAATGTAAGAAATAAGTTTAACATTTTTTAAATAGTTCAGAAATTATTTGTAATAAGTTTAAAATTGGACAAAAATTTAGAATTGCATGAAATAAGTAAAAAAAACTAAAAACATAAATGTATAATTTTTCCAAAATTATGTGAAATGCGTAGAAAAATTCTCCAAAAATGGGTCACATCATTTACGCATACATGGTCACTACTTTAGATGCATAACATTGCCGTCGTAACATTACGCAGTTAACGATGTATGTAAAAGTTAAGTGACTTCTGTTTGCGGGCATGGAGTGAATTCTTAATTCGCGAGGAGGGCGAAATATGCAGCAGACAAAGAGATGCCAGGCCACATGATTTCTTTGCCCATTAAGAGAAGCATAAGAAGCCAAGACAGGTGCATGATGATGATGGGACGTGTTATTGGGGGACATGTGCAAAAAGCACGTGGTCAGTCAGGGCAGGTTTGAGTTTCCACGTGTGAAAATTTCAATTTTAGAAAATTGGACAGATTTTCTGCAGAAATTTGGCCAATTTTTGCAGAAAAAGAGTGGATTAAATAAGTTTCCCCGTATGAACATATTTCAATTTCAGAAATTTACTAAGATTTTACGCAAAAATTTTACCGATTTTACTAGAAAAAGAGTGTGTAAAATAAATTTCTCATTTGAAAATTTAAATTTCAGAAAACTTGCCTGATTTTCTGCTGAAATTTTACGGATTTTTCTACAGAAAACTCGTATTTGCAGAACGACATATACATAAACTATGAAAAATTATACACAAACACTTTTGAAGACTACGCCAGGCAGAAATTTTCTACAAAATCATGCCAAGTTTTACCATTATGAAGACGACTTATGCAAACTTCTGCAGATTTTCATATGTACGAGTTGACATGTAAAAGTGAAATAAATGCAATTTTTGAATGCACAACCCTCAAAATTGTATTGATCGAGTCATCCGTATAGTGTGATGATGATGATTATTATTATAAATTGTTAGTAGCGATGATGATCATTATTTATGGGTAGTTATTCACTAATTGTAAACAGCCGACGTCTTAACGATTATATAGTTAATTGTGCATCCATCCCTGCGGTGTGTCTCGTTCCATTCCTTGTTTAGTAGTTACCTCGCCATAAGAAGTTATTGAATTGGTAATTAGTTATTTATTTATGTTAGTTATCGCTACGTATTTATTTAATTGTACTTGAGGCAAGGTTAGTTTTAGTAGGGATGAGATGAGATGAGAGACAAAGGTGGATATTGTTGAGAAGAGACCTTTGTTAATTCAGCGATGATCGTGACGACGATTATTTCTTAGCATTATTATCTTGAAGAAGATCAATGACGATGTAAAGTCATTAATTATTTGTGATGCGAACAAATTGAGTCGAGCTACTCTGGTAAGTAAGTATTTATGAATCGTGGAGGAACAATTAAGATGTGAAATAATGGATAATTTTGGTATGAAATGTACGTGCAGGATATTTTGAGAAATTGATAAGAACAAAATGCATCTGACGATGTTAAGCCATTAATTATTTGTGATGCTAACAATTCGAACAATTAAGGAACAATTAAGTAAGATGTTAAATACATAATGGAGAATTTGAGTATTTATGAAACGCATTTATGTACAGGATATTTTGAGAAATTGATAAGAACAAAGTGCATTGATAAGAAGAAGATAACTGATTTAATGGATTTGTTCCGTGGGACGTGTGTAAAGTGGGAAGAATGAAAAATTAGGTATGTATTGGAAATAATTATCGTAATTTTATGTACTTAAGCGGATATTTACAGATTGAATTTCCAAATTTTTTTGTCCCAAATTTCGTGTAAAGTTTATAGGAAATTGAAATTACGTACTGGAAATAATTATCGTGATTTTATGAACTTAAGCGGATATTTACTTACAGATTGAATTTTGTCGCGTAAAATTTATGCTTTTTTTTTGTACAAATTTTGTGCAAAAACTGGATAGGAAATTACGTATTGGAAATAATTCTCGTGATTTTAAGCGGATACGTAGGTATTTTTGGTTTCTTTTGTGTAACATGGAAATTTTGGTTCGTGGCATTGTTTTCTTAAGATAAATACACTAAATGAGGTGAGGCGACAAGTTAAGAAATTCTGAGAAGGATCTGCTTTTAATCAATTTGTGTCTCGTATAAGTAAATATGTACGACACACACGACAGGAAGTTACGGTTTAACGAGTAAATAACAGAATTATTTACTGTATAGGAACATACCCAGAATTGGTTAAGTACACAGATCGCATGACAAAAGAGTGGTTAATTTATGTCTGAAAAACTGTTACGAAACACAAGATAAAATATTCCAGCGAGTTGTAAACCCCGTGCAGAAATGATATTTGAAATGATTATTCAATGACGTAATTCACGCAGGCCTTGGTAACTTTGTAAAATCCATAAATTTCGTAAAATTTTACAAACTTTTACAAAACTTTACTCATATTTCAAGGGAAAATTAGCGTACAAATTTTCGTAACATTCTTCAGTCAGATCGAGGGCGTCTCCTGATTTTGTAAAAGTTAGCAAAAAAATGATTTTACCAATTTTACAAAGTTACTAATAACTGCGTGAATACCTTGCTTCACTTTAAAAAATTATGAGAAATTTTTTACCTCCAAAGTCTAGCTCAAAATCTAGATTTCAATAAATTTTTACATTTAGTTTGTAGATTTAGACAGAATGAAACGCCTTTTGTAGAAATTTGTGAATTTTGAACATTAGTTTAGAGGTTTAGATTGTGAAGTTTGGGTATTCGTTGATTTTGAGAACAATTAATAGCAACATTGTAAATTCTGTAAATGTTTACTAATAAAAAAAAATTTTTACATTTAGTTTGTAGATTTAGACAGAATGAAACGCCTTTTGTAGAAATTTGTGAATTTTGAACATTAGTTTAGAGGTTTAGATTGTGAAGTTTGGGTATTCGTTGATTTTGAGAACAATTAATAGCAACATTGTAAATTCTGTAAATGTTTACTAATAAAAAAAAATAGTTCTGAGGAAAATTAGCTCACAATTTTTGTTGGCGTCTTTGTATCTTGTAAAAGTTTGTCGAATTATTTTATAACTTTACGGATTTTACAAAGTTACTAATGACTGGGTGAATTCGCTTGATATTTACTAGAACAGGAATTATATAATATTTTTCGTATTTTTTAAACCAAAAAAAACGAAATTCATTTTCAGCAGTAAAAAAATAGAACCATTAAGCACTTCCGGATCCGAATTAGATACTATAAAACACCACATATTTTCTGCACGTCGTTCCTCATCCCCTTTAAAAAACTTGCATGCGTGTCTTACCACATTTCAATTCAACCAAAAATAAATCGTGTAATACTTGGCATTAAGAAAATGCCATCAATTTTTTCCCAATCATTTCAAGTATGCCGTCCTTTTGTGTGCCATTCTTTGTGTACGGATTGAATTGGTAATTGTCCATCGACCACGATAAATGAACGCCTGTGTCAATTCAGCATCATCTTCGTCGTCCTTCAGTCTCATTATCGTCTTCATTTAATTTAAAGGAGAAGACTAACTTTGACCACCGTGACGCTCGTTGTGGTGGCTTTTGTGTTGTGGGAATATTTGCACAATGGAAAAATATGGTAATTTTTTGCAAATTATTAACAGCATATTTGCAACGTGATGGGCTGGATGATGGATGAATAGACGCAGAAACATACATATGTTCACCTGCTCAAGGTCGACAAGTTGGCTCATCTTCGTCTGGTGGTGTCTTCTTCTTTAGCTGGCTGGGACCAAGCCCTGGTTTTTTTTGCACGTGGTAATATTTGTGTTTGCAAAATAAATGGCAAGGAAAGTAAGTGACCGGTTCTCAGGAGGAGATGAAATGTTGCGCAAAGGCCAAGGTTACTGCGAAATGAATTTATTTATAAGCAAGCGTCGTGCAATTATCTATTCTATGAGACAAAGATCTTTTAATTGATTTCTGCATATGTAATAGTGCGTGGTGGGGTAGAGAGGAATTTGCATGGATGGATATTTTTGCAAAATGGAGGGCAGTGCGAAAAAGATGAGATGGATTTTAACGAGGTTTGCAAAGTAAAGCGACGAAATTTATTTTTTTCTAAATTTTAATGCATAATAAATAAATAGGTAACTTCTGAATTTAAATCGGACGACATGATTGAAGGAAGAAAATTAATTTCTTTTCAAGCCTTCGACACTGCTCATCTCGTGTCACCATCAGGGATAGAGTAATATTTGGAAATCCATACTTCTTACTTCGGAAGTTAGTAATTTTACCATGGGTTTTGGACATTTATAAAAAAAGTTGATATTTATGCGTATATTTTTTAAAAATTGGTGTGTGAATAGGTTGTCACAATTTTTATTTCACGTTTTTATGCAATTTATCATGGAGGAAATTTGTACAGTCCTTGGTAGCTTTGTAAAATCGGTGCGTTTTGAAAATAATTTAGAAACTTTTACAAATAGACGTCCTTGATCTGACCATGAGCAAGTTTACAAATATTTGGGAGCCAATTATCCTTTGAAATATTTGTAAAAGTTTATGGGTTTTATAATGTTAATGTTATTAATGAAGCATGAATTACTTCATTAATAATTAATTTAGATTATTAGGCGCCTAATTAATGTGTTATTCATAATTAATTAACGCTAGTGTAAAATTATTAATATCTAGGTTTTAATTAGTAAAGAGTGTTTTTACAAAATTATTACATAATGGGAAACTTTTTTGGGGAGTTTTGAGGAATAATTTTTATTGGTTTGATTTAAAAAATCAAATTTCCTATTTTTTAAAAATAATTATTTATTAATATTTTTTTACGTAAAGCTGAAACGACAAAATTGATTGTTGTATAAATTTTATCCCGATATAAAGAAATTGATTCATGGTTCCTAGCAATATAGCATTTTAATGACGAAAACAGAACAAAAGAAGGGTACCTGGTTTCGATGGTCCCCTGGGCCACGCCCCCTTGATTTTAATTATAATTCCTGGGCCACTGGTAAAATTCGCAATTTTGGGGAACTTTGGCATGCATAGTAACTTGTAACTTGGGGAAATAATTTTAAATATCAAAAAAAATATTTATTCTCTGCTCTTCTCATATACATTGAAAAATTTTCCATTGTGGCGTGACATTTTAACCACCCTGTATATGAATATATGTGCAACGAACAGGTTACATTGTAATGACGAATGGAGAATTTAACGAAGGTGACAATATTGAAAAAGATTACAGAGAGGAAGGAATGCATATAACTATGAATTTTAAACTGGCACTCAACACTTACACATGAAATGCACAACATTATTATAAAAACTTATAAAACTGGTAACTTTAACACTCCACACAGAATTTAAATAAAAATGCACATTATTATTCATCGTCGTCCTCCTCCCCCGCAATGTCCACGGCAGCGTCGAGGAAGGAATAGGCTCGATGGTTCCTCTGGGTACTTGGTGGTTGGTGGCGATCATATCCGCAATACTTAAACACCTGTTAATTAATTAACAAAAATGCATGTTAAACGGAATAATTACTGTGACCATGCAATTAATTTAATAGTATTAAAACTTACACTACAAACATGCGAACAACATCCCAATGTCCTGGATCCCGTTTTACATGTGCAGTAGTAGGAGTCGATCGCTTTGTGTCCATGTTCTCCGATATCAACCTGAATCCAAACCTGATGGGTCGCTCGTCGATTGAATCGGCTTTGCAGCTTTACACGAAATAGGGACGAGTTTTCTTTGTGAATGAAAAGACGATATTCACCTTCTTCTTGGAGATGCTGATTTGTATAGCTGTCAGCCATTCGGATCTGGAAGGTCCCAAGTGTTATCTTCTTAAGATCATCAATAGACAAAATTGGAAAGTTCGCCAAATCAGCTTCAGTTGGTGCAGTCCAAATAATTTGTTTTCTGAGCAGGCCGTTGTCCTTGATCAGCATCTCTAACGTGTTGGCTCGATCCATTTCACCAATTACTTCATTGATTATGTAGTCTTCATTTTCTGGGGACTTTCTAAACCTAGTCCCGTATTTGTTGTGGATGGCACAAGCAATTCGAAAAAACATTGCTATTTTTGGCAGGTAGGTGGCTTGAATAATGGAGTCGAAGAACCGGAAGCGAAGCTTAATTTGACCATTGACTACCTCCACGATTAACCGGAGCATTGTCACTTTTCTTGACTGGTTCGCTTCGTCTGCTGAGAATTGAGTCTTCCCTTTAAGTAATTCCGGCATGTACACCTTGAAGCCGAGAGCCCTCAATTTCTCCACAAAGTCTCGAAATCCTCTGTCAAGGATAAATACGTCGCCCGGCTGAAGAAGAATGAGAAGTGTACCCGCCCCTGCACGATTAACGATCTTCTCTAAAATATTTGCGTCGTTATTTTTGAAATCTGAAAACCAGGGTCCATCGGCGTCCAAAATATATCCATCAGCAAAGACAATAAGCATGGGCTTGACTAAATTCCTGAACTTGTGGAGTGAGAATGTCTTCCTCTGGACTTCAAAATTCGATGGCTTTTGTATATTCAAATAGGTTGCATCACAGGTAACGTGCAAGGATTTCGGTGGAGTGTCCAGAATACGATGGTAAAACTCGGAATCGTGACTTTCTGCCATTTCTCTGTTTAGATGCATTTCACCGCATCCAAGATTGTATGGAACAAACTCGCGATCCAAGACTTCGGCGACACGGGTAATTGTTTCACTTACTCGCTGCTGCCCATCGATTCCAAACAGTAGTGCCAAAACTTTCTGTGGTAAATCGAGACGCATCTTCATCAGAAACAATGCCAGTGCATTCTCAACGCTTCTGTTGCTGCTGGAATGGATGTGATGTCGACATATTTCTAATAATTCCAAAAATTGGTCACGAGTTACACCAAGAAGTAGATGGTAATCTTCTGGTTTGATGTGAGAATTTTTCCCAAAATCCAGGATGGTGACCTTGTTATCAATGTGCTTGAGGAGTTGAGCTATCCATTTTGTTATATCTGGACCAGATAATTCAAAACTTTGCTTGTCTGCAGTTATTTGAATGAGCGCTTCATTTGTGAATTGGTTATTCTCGAGATGAGATGCACAAGTCCTATTTTTGGGAGGGATGAAAATATAGTGACGTTGTAGTACTTGAAGATTGGCTGAATCTGGCACACGTTTCCTTCCAGTAACTGACTTGCAAATGAAGCATCTCCGTTCACTTTTTGACACGGTTGGGATATCAATTTTGGCATGATTGCTGAGTAGGGATATCTGCAGTATAATTAGTCAAAATCATTACTGATCTTTAATAATCGAGCTTAAGTAAAATAGTGTACTACAAACCGATTGGGTAGATGAAAAGCTGATGGACAGGGAGGTCTGACTATTGACTGTTAAACTGGAGTCCAAAGAGGATTGAGATGTCGACGCCACGCTGCTTGGCTCCTGCGATTCCTCAATCGTGCTGCAGGTATCGGCTACGCATAAATCAGAGACGGTTGGAACAGCTAATCGTGAAGATTTGGATAGTGCAGTTCGATAATCCTGAAAACCGTTCCTTTCGTAATCAAAGCGCAGTCTTGCGTGGCAGGATTTGCAAATAAGGTCGGTGGGGGTAAAACTTTTCCCAGTGTGACCAAGCTTCATCGTCACGATGTCCCACAGCAATTTCTCGTTGGGACCAACTCCCCCAATCGCTCTGCTCCATTGGTTCGAAGAAATCCGTCTCTCACAACAGCTACATTTTCCATGTCCACTGCGGTGCACTTCATGGGCCTAAAATTAAAAAATAAGTAGATACTTATATAAATAATTATAAAATCTAATGCTTCTCAGAGTGACATCAATGTGTGGACTTCGACGTCTACGTGTAATGGTGGCGCTCTTAACATGGGAAAGGTCCACTCGCCTTTTTCTCCCATTTAAAGTTCGCAGTCTTCGATTTTTCCCCATTGGTCCAGACTCGTGAAGGCCGTGCCACGGTGGACGTTCTAAAAACATAAACATTATGATCACGACTGGCGAATATAATTTGCATCGCGTTTACCTCTTGTTAAGTTGACAGTGACCAACTCCGCGACAGTGCTGGTAAACAAGTTTTCCGGTGGTCGTTGTTGCTGGTTTACGCTGCGCGGTGGCGTCGACACGGGCGAAAGGCTCTCCGACAAGAATTTGTTGAGAAGAGAGTTGAGTTGATAAGCTGGGACTCAAGAATGACGAAATCTTGTCGCAACGGAATTTGCGAATGTCCAAGCAGATGTAAATATATATGTAAACATTGGTTGAAAACCATCCGCTTTTGTTTGTTATTTTGTTTTTTGGTCATTTAATCACTGATGACAACAAAAATATGCCTTATTTTAAGAATTTGTGCACCGATTTTTACACAAACCCAAAGTTACCCAACTCCAGTCGACTTTGTGGCAAATCGGTGACAGGGATCATCTTTATTTTTTCATACCAAATACTCGGATAGTTGATTTATGCAGCAAAATTAACATCATCGAAATGAGATCATGCAAACGCTTGTTTTTTTAAAGTGATCATTTAACCCCCAATTTCGACCCAAAAATGGGCGAAATCGTGCTCATGCGAATGCCAATTGGAAAAATATGGTGATAGGGATCAGGCTATTTTTTTCGTGATCTCAACATGGATAGTTGTACTATGCAATGGTGCAAAAATTGGGGTTCTAGCGGTTTGCAAACGCTTGGCCAAAATGACCATGAAAATAGGTACCCTTCTTTCATGAAAAAATACAATTTCAGCTTCTTGTAGATTTTATGAGAGAAATTTTTATTACTTGATCGAAAAAGTATAATTTATAGTCAATAATTTATGTAATTAATTAAATATTCTGATGTCAAACTTACATAGTGGGGTCATAAGTTCTCGTGAATGCATTTCCGGTAATAAATCCCAAAGTATTAGAGCTATCTGTTCGAAATTTTTATGGATTAACAAGGTATTAATATTGTTTAGAAATCATAACTTCTTTGTCAAGATTTCGTCCACGGGCAATTAGACAAGACATAACTCGTGACGGCCACAGGTTGATCGTGGTACGCGCCAATTTTCGTGCAAAAAGTATTTCAGACTTTTCACCGTTGGCAAAAAATTTAATAGAAAAAAGGCCAGATATTTGTTGTACAGAAGTCTGACATCCGTTTAAGTATGCGGAAGTCAATACGAAGTCATCACCGTGGTGTGCATGGGAGCAAGTTGGCTGGAGAAATGAAATCTCTGTTTTTTACCGCAAAGGGTACAAGTTGAAGCCAAGAATTATTTTCAGAGTGTCCTAAAGCCAAACGTTAATAACCTGAACCCTGGACCCTCCGAAAATCGACATTGGACCTTTTAACAAGACCCTGTTCCTGCGCAAGGTGCAAAATTGTCCAAAACTGGCTTCAGACGAATTTTCATGACTTTTTTTCATCCGTAGAACGGTGCTCAGTATCTGCAGACCTTAATCCCCTAAATTATGACTGGTGGTCAAAATTATAGGTACAAGTATGCTCTAAATTTCACCCAAGTGTGGAAGGGCTGAGGTCGCACTTACTGAAGATCTGGCGCTTTTCCCTGGAAATCCGTGCGTGCCGCGATCGAGCAGTTTTCGCCACGACTTATGTCTTGTGTACAAGCCCGTGGAGGAAATTGTGAAAACGAAGTTATGATTTCTAAACAAGATTAATACCTTGTTCATCCACAAAAATTTCTATCAGATAGCTCTAATACTTTGGGCTTTATCACCGGAAATGCATTCACGGGAACTTATGGTCGGACTATGTATATACAAACTTCCTTTGTAATTAAATTCCCTATTTTTTTACTAATTATTTATTTCGAACTGAATAATTTTTATGTAAAGCTGAAATGACCAAATGGATTTTTATATCAATTTTATCCCAATGCAAAGAATTAGATCAGCGATTTGGAACTGCTTTGTAATAGTTATTCTAACAATGAAAATCGATTACAAAATTTCATAAAAAAATACAATTTCATCTTCTTGTGGATTTTATGAGAAATTTTTATTAATTAAACAAAAAAACACAAGTTTAAATACAATTTACGTATGTTCAATAATTTATTTAAATAATTAAATATTCTTAGCTTAAATTTATGTACAAAATTTCTTTGAAATTAAATCCCATATTTTTTAAACAGTAATATTTCTAACTGCTCAATTTTATCGTAGAGGTAAAACGACCGAATGTATTTTTATAAAAATTTTATCCCCCAATAAAATAAGTAGATCATAAATTGAAGAGATTCACTTGACCTATTTTACTTTAATTGTTACACAAACCATATTTACATAAATTTATGAAAACGGATTTTAAAAATTTCCCTAGTTAAGCATAAAAGCATACAATTTCATGTTCTTGTTAATTCTACGAAAGAGCAACTTTTATTAATTTAACAAACAACGGCAAGTTTAAAATACATTTAAAATTAAAATACAGAATTTGTTTTCCTGATTTAAAATTTTAATTTTAATTTACGCGTAAAATTCCTTGAAATTAAAACCCTGTATTTTTTTAAAAATTGGTTCGAGTCGAACAATTTCATCGTAGAGCCAAACCGGCAGGATGGACTTTTATATAAATTTTAATCAAGATTTATAGAAATATATGTCTCAAGCTCTTGACTTCATTTTAATTATTACAAACCAAGCCATTTACATATTTAAATTACACTAAAACGAACAAAAAAGATTTTTTTAATTTCCCCTGATGAAATATATATATCATAAATGGATCATACAAATAAAATCATATCAAATCATAAAATCTGGTTCCCCAGAAATAAGTATATGTAAAAAAAAAAGATGCAATTTCGTCTTGTACATTTTACGAGAGGAATTTTTATTAATTGAACGGAAAGGAACAACAATTTTATACAATTTATAATTTATTTAGCTAATTAATTATTCTTAATATAAATTTACACGCAAAATTATTTCGAAATAAAATCTCGTATATTTTCATTTTAACTAAATATTTATTTTGAATTCGAGTTGAACAAATTTAAGGTAAGAGTAAAACGCCGGAATGATTATGATATAAATTTTAATCCGGAAATTAATTATGAAATAGATAATATTGCCCGAGAATGTTGTATTTTAACTTTAACCATTTCACAATAATCATTTGTATAATTCGACTAAACCTAACGACGAAAATTAATTTGAAAAAATTTCAAGTTAATCATTAGCTTCTTGTAGATTTTAAGCGAGGAATTTTGATTAATTAAACGAAAAGAAGCAACAATTTTGTACAATTTATGTAAATAAATAATTATTTTTGGGTTAAATTCACACGCTAAATAAATTCCTTCGAAATTAAATCATGTATACTTTTTTTTACTAATTATTTATTTCTAACCGAACAATTTTTGCGTAGGATTTTACATGAATTTATCCCGATTTTGAGAAATATATATAAGTTTTTGGCCACGTCACGTGGCTGAATTCAGACCTTCAGTTATGCACTTGAGTTTGGACTTCTTGGAAGGAGTCGTTTTTTTAGTGTGTGAATTTAGTACGAATTATTTAATGATGATGCGATACTAGTTAAAAACATTTGATGAAGGATGCAGTAAAAAATTGAGAGGGTACACCAGATTTTCTGGAAAAGAGCTATCTCTCACAAGGGACGTCTCCCCGCGTATGCTCTCCGATTTTGACCAAATCAGTGCCAATCAATCGCAAATTTAATTAGTATGAAATTTGCAAAAGACACGATCTCCCAATGCGGAAGTTTGACAGAGGCGTTTGCATTGGGAGTTGCTAGGCAATTCACGCAGTCATTTGTATGTAATTCGTAAAATGTGTAACCTTTACAAAATAATTTTTCACAGTTTTACAAAATAAAGAGACACCTTGATCGGAGCAAGTTTACAAAAATTTAAATGCTACGTAATTCTTCTTTCGAAATATTAGAAAAAACGCTTTTCAGGCATTATTATTTTTTAATTCTGGAAAGTTTGCATTTACTAATTAATATTTTATAAATTTCAATATAAAAATAAAATCTAGTTACCCTACATAATATTGAAAATTCGTTTCCTAAAACATTGTCGGTAAAATGAAAATCGGCGTTAAATTTCGTCATATAAATCAATTTTGCTCAAAAGTCAAAACTATCCAACCAGTGTATAAACTGGTATATTTTTTTAATCGGAACGTTTTTAATGGGCGATTATTTTTTATTTGTAAAACAATTCAGGAAAATTTTGCTATGTTAAAAACTGTATATGAATTTAATCATAAAAAATAAATTTATCGTTATCTAAGAACTTTGTTCCATATAAATTTTTCAGTAAATAAAACTGGCGTTAAATTCCGTCATATTTTAATATAAATTAATTTTGGAAATTTATGAAAGACAAGATTTAAACGTTATAAGCAATTATTTTAAATAATTCAGGTAATATTTGTAAATTCATTTTTTAGTGTGAAATATTAAAAAATTCGTTAAAACCTTTGTAATTGTAAAACCTTTGTAAATCGGTGTATGCATGTTTTTATATTCGAATGACTGATTATTTTGTTTAAAAATTCGAAATCACCTCAATATTATCTGTAAAATTAGTATTGATAATTTTGCAAGGTTTCCGAAAAACATAAAGTTGGCGTTAATCCGCCTCATACTTTCTTCAACCCCCCCCCCCCATTGATCTATCTTGGTCCCATCTATCCCACTGGTGGTGTCACTAATTTATAAAATTAGTTTTAGGTTTTAGGTTTAACAAAACTAAAAAAAAATGTTTTAACATTTTTGTAATACATTAAACTTTTCCAAATTCAGGTACAAAGTTATCATGAAAAAAAAACCTTTGCAATCTGTGTAACTTTTGTAAACTGATTATCATTTATTAATAGCCAATTTAATTCAGTTGATAATTTAATTGATAACTCGTGAAATCCATGCGTTTTATAAAATAATTTTGCAAACTTTCTGTTTTTCTTTTAAATTGCTCAGAAAGAATCAAAGTTTCAAATTTTAAAATTCTGTATGACTCGAATTCATAGAATAATCTTTTGTACAAACTTGTACAAAATAAAGAGACGCCTTTGATCTGAGCAAGTTTACAAAAATTTATTAGCTAATTTTCCTTCGAAATATGAGTAAAATTTTGTAAATTTACAGAATTTACGAATTTTACAATTTTACCAAGGTCTGCGTGAATTGCCTCCTTGTCTTCTTTCAAATTTCATACTTATAAATTTATGATCAATTTGGCCAAAAATCTGA